TCAGCTTCTAAAGGTTGCATCCTGTTCTGCACAAGAACATAACAATGCCAAGTGGGAAATAATTAAATCAACGCAGATATCATTAGGATTTGTTTTGAAGCTGTTGTCTTCAAATTGTATTAAAGATCTTTTATCGACAAATCTTAAAACAACTGGGATAAAACAATATATATTTTGGAGACAGAAAAGTGTTCCTCTATAAGGAACTAATACAAAACTCTACTTCTACTCTGAAAGGCCAAGTGTGCACAGGCAAAGTTTTATTATAATGGCAGACAACAAATTTCTTCTTCTTTGCTCTCAATGCTAAGTACAAATGTACAATAAACGGCCTTCTTAAAAAATAAGTTGTCTCCTTAAAGCACATATGAGCGGCATTGTATATTAACCCACCCACCCCCAATCTTTGGGGAAGAAATGTCTCCACTAATAACACACCTGCTATCCTGACAAGAGGACTTTGCCTTGGTTCTTTACTTCTGTATCTTGGAAAAAAAAAACTTTTTATTGTGGCCAACGGGTTTCACTAAATCCTATGGCAAGAAACAACACAATTCTATCAGGAAAGTGATCCATCATTTTCTCCATCAAAGTTTTTGAAAAATACAGATTAAGTCATCATTCTTCCCAGTTTTTACATAGAGATTATGACTTTATAAACGCTATCCTATCTTTATCTACCTCGAAGTAAGCCCCATGAGGTGTAGTAAGATTTATTCCTCAGTAAGTATGCACAGGTTTACACTGAGAAACACTTTACAGGCAATACATGAAAACAGATTTTGCTCCTCCAATCTTCCCCCCATCCCGGTGCAACAGAAATTAAAACTTCAGGCATCACATCCCCCTTTCCCACTCCAAACCAACAGCGACACACACACACACACACACATTATCAAGCCTCAAAAGCATCCCCTCTGCCATGAGAAAAGAAAAGCTCCTAGGCTTCTTTGGGCAGAAACTTCACAACTGACTGCACATAGTTCCCAGCTTGGTTATTAGAAAAGAAAAAGAGAAAGCGCCTGAAGTGTTTATTTTATTTGCTCTTTGTTTTATAGATCCCCCCCTTTAAAAAAAAAAAAACCCGTCTTCCCACAGAGGGGCTCTGAATTAGGGACCCATCAGATTTATTATAGGAACCTGATCTTTTATCTTTTTTAATTAAGTAAAAAAAAAAACCAGAATATAGTATATTAGAACTAGATGAATCTATCATACCCTTGATTGGGGCGGGGGGGGGATTGGCAGGCTGCCTCAAATCATTTTCTCACTCATGACATCCTTCAGTCCTAGACACAAATAACTTATTTAGCCCTAAATTTTAATATCTGAACATAAAATGTGCTGAGCAACTTCATGATCTAGAAAGTTTTCAGCCTGCCTATTTACTCAGAATCCTAACAATTTGATGCAAGAGAACTGTGAAAGGGAATCACGGTGCATGTATTACTGTACACTCTGCAAGGTTTTTCCGTAACACCATTGCCCAATGGCTTTGAAACAAAACTATCCCCTTCTTTTTGCAGCCCTTGGTAGACAAGAATTTGAGAATGGATAGAAAAATGATTTGTTCAGGTTTTTAATAATATTTTTTCCATGCAAAAGTACCTACAAATAAATAGTGCTTTCTTGAAGAAACATTTTCCCTCTCCATCACCTTTGTAATGGTAAAGTATAATTATTAGCCTTAACTTTAACTAAATACATATTCTGCTCACTTAATGGTCTCCTGTTAATGCACAGGCATACATTTTTAAATTTTTTAAGATGCAGTTAAAACTTTCAAGAACCTCCTGTAGAACCAATTCTGAATACAGGAACTGTAGGAGCTGATCAGTCTATCCCACCACCAACACACATATCCATTCCTAAAATGGAAATTAAAGGGGGGGAATGTCTGGAATCAGAACCGTCTAATCACTTTACCAATCTTCCCAACTTGGTTTGCACAATAAATAGTAGACTTGGTTCTTTTGTCTCTGTTTCAAGGTGTTTGAATTTTTGATTTGTTTTATTTTTTTTCAATTTCAGAGGGAAAGGGGTTGAAGTCCCAAATACAGACCATCATCCATTTGGAAATTCTAGCCTCAATTAAAGTTACAACTAACAAAAATGAAAGCTGCAATCCTTTACCCACTTACCTGAGAGTAAGGCCCACTGAATTCAATGAGACTTACTTCTGAGTAGACACGCATAGGATTGCACTATGAGAAAATTACTTGCATTATTTAATACTTCTAAAAGTAAAAGACAAAACTTATGGCCTAAATAAGTAACATATTCAATTTATACAAAATGGCTATTGGCCATACATGCTCTTTTTGCGTAAATGTTTTAATGTGCACCAACATACTTTTATAACATAATTACTATTTCTATTGTGGATTATACTCATTGTTTTGTATAAGGTAACATTTCTTATGGTACACACCCACTGCCTTTCTAACATTAAAGTGAACATTTAACCCAATTCTAAATGCTGGAATTTACTGTGGTATCTGGCTGCCTTATATACTATTTTGTCTCCAAAAGACTAGAACAGCAGACTGAGCACTTGACTGAATTCAGCAATGAACCTTGGAATAGGATTTGTAGCAAAATTCCTTAGGGCTAAATTAGGAAAAAAACAAACCTCACTATGACTTTCTCAAATGTATTCCACTTAATATCCGCCTCAGAAGATTTTTAGATCTTAAGTATTCTCAGGTGAATTATTATTCTTGCTCTCCTCCATTTAAAATGTTCAACTTGAAGAGAGAATCAATTAAATGGTGTAATTACAAAAAAACACCAAATTCAGAGAGATTTTTTGTTTCAGACCACAACCTAAAAGAGTTGTGTGTCAATGTAAACAACTTTGATCAAATGAAAATTTCTCCCCTATGACATTTCAACCCTTCTCTGCCTTACCTGGTTCTTTCATAACTTTATACAAGGCTAACATAAGAATGTTTCTAGAAGAACTGAAAATTGTAGTTCACAATATTTGAGGGAATTTATCTCAAAAGTATTTGTCTTCTGGGCCGCAAGAGGAATTGACAGAAATGGATCAGAATCCTTTACACACCTCATGTTAATTACAAGCTTTAAAATATATTTTGCTTGGGCCGTCTCAATTGCCCAATGAAACTTGAGTAGTATGTTCTCTTTGTTGTAATGATTACGAGCTAAAACAATACCAGTCTATGATAAGCTTATCAAAATATCCAACCCCAAATAATCAAAGTAAAAAGGCAATTTCAGTTCAATTAGAATTTTTTTTAATGTTGTCAAGGAAAACTTACATAGCTCCTGAGAATATGTTGTTTTTCAGCACCATGAGTTTGACTATAATTCTCTTCCTTTTAACCATGTGCAGAATTCAAATTTTATAAATCTAAAAAGCCGTTGACTTTTGTACATATTTATAGGTTCCTTCTTTTTAAAGGGCACAGATGTCACATTATATTAATGAAAATATATATAACAGTTTCCCCTCTAATTTTAGCTCAAGTTTGCTGGTCCAAGAGATCTTGAAAATGTTTTAAATTTACAGCTGGTTTCAAGAAGCAAAGAGCGAGGAAACACCTATAAGAAGCTGAAAAGACACTGACTAGAAGAATGATCAGACCAAAATCATTCTTTGACAGCAATAAATATATTCTGTATATTTAAAATAATAAAAGATCAAGATCATTTAAATCATATCAAAATGCATCTACTATTATAATTATTAATAATTAGCATTAGCCCATCACTAATTACAATTTTGAAGATTTTTTTTTAAAGTTGGGTTATTTAGAAAAAGATTTTTTAAATTTATCAAGTAAGAAATAAGAAATAAACACTCAGAGGAACTGTGGGATTTATAAAAATATTTTTCTCCTATCTCAAAGTTCTGATACTATAAAGAATAGATCTGACTAGACAGCGGGTCTTTTTGCTAGACAAAAAACTTTCCCATTTACGGCCAACTTGTTTGCCAGGAAAAAGTTACTGTATTTCATAAAGTGGGAATGGCAAACAATTCAAAAAAAAAAATCTGCTGTCCCAATTCGCATCCCCCCCCGTGTGTACTCAAGAAGAGCATAAATGCCAATATCTTTTAAGTCCACCCGTCCTGTCAATCACAATAAATTGTAATTCACAGACACACTTACAGGTCTGATTGATCTGCAGAAACCCCAAAGCGGTTTTGCAACATCTATTCCCCTCCCCTCTCCGCATTCACGAAACAAGGGAGGGGGAAAAAATCCAAAATCACTACCCGTGCTCGTTCCGTCATTTTGCCCCCACAGGCAAGAACCTCCTATCTCTTCTGCGTATCGCCCTCGCAGCAAAGCCCCCCCCCCGGAACAAAGAGGGAACCCAAGAGGCTTTCCAACAGGCCGGCGGGGCTCCGATCCCCAGCCCTCCTTCGGGCTCTACGTGGAGCCCCCCGGAAAGTTGCTCCCACCCGGACCTCTCTTTGTCTCCAAGCGCTCCTTTTTCGGGGCACCCCCGAACTTTCGTGAGCCTCCTTTAGGAAAAGCCACAAAGAAATCAAACGGACGGCGGAAAGGGGGGGGGAGTTTGTAGTCTTTTCCAAGCCCTCCATACATTTTTCACGTGCTCCCCACCCCCCCCCACCCCATCCCATCAGCAACATCCTCGAGGTTTCTTCTTCTGAAATTGAAAGGAGGGACGGAGGTGGAAAAATCAACAAAGCATGCCTCTCTCTCTCAGTCGCTTCCTCACACCTGTCTTCAACCCCCCTTCACCTGGGGGGGCCCGACCAGATCGGCCAGTTTTAGCGACTTTTAAACTGCTTCCTGGGTGCAATTATTCCAGTATATGTAATTTATTTATCTTTAAAGCAGAAGAGCACCTTTTTAAAAAAAACACACAATAATAATAACAGAAGAGGAAGGAACTACTACTAAGAGGTTTTCCCTCCGTGGATTAAAAACTCCGCCGGCAAATGAAACTTTAAAGGAGGGGTGGAAGGGAGGACTGTTGTTGCAAAAAACGATCCCACCAACCTGTTTTGATCTACAGCGCCGGGAATCGAGTCTCAACTTTTAACACCCCCTACTCGGAGCGAGCATGTGGCTGCCGCCGCCGCCGCCTCCTCCTCCTCCTCCTTCCTGCTTCTGCCGCGGCCGCCGCGTCCCGTGTCGTCCCCGGCGGAGCAGAAATGCCTCCAACTCCCAGGCAACCCGACGTCCCCCCAAAGTTAAACACCTCGGAGACAAAGAGAAAGACACAGAGAGAAAGAAAGAAAGAAAGCGAGAGAGAGAAAGAGAGAGAGCACTAACGCAGTTGAGGCAGGATCATACTTTTCTCCTACTAAAGGCTTTGCCGCTTCCTTCTCTTATTGTGAGTGGGGGGGGTGTCCGTTTCTTCTTCCTTCGCCCCCTTCTCGTGTTCCGTTTTCCTCAATGGAAGTCTCTCAAGGGCGGGGGGGGAGGAGGGTGGGAAGTCAATCTATATCCTGGGTCCCTCCTCTCTCTCTCTGTCCCATTCAGATGGGGAGATCAGCGTCTAATCACAGGGGTTGTGTCTGTACTGGAGATGTGACTTGAGAGCTGGGAAGGGAGGGGTGAGAGAGTTACTTCCAGTTCTACCATAATTCATCTAAAGCAGGTGCAGCGCGTTTTCAAGCTCCCGGGTCCTTGAATGGAAGAGGAAGGGGCTGGGGATGAGAAGAGGGGAATGGAAGCTTTTTTGAACCAAGAAGAGTCAAAGGAAACGAGGTCTCCCTTATAATCTCTCAAGCCACTTTGTGTCCTTTTCTTTTAATACCAACAGCATGGTTTATCCCCTCCCCCTTCACATCTTGCATATAATGGAGCAGGGCTTATTTATTTATTTATTCAACTTATATGCTGCCCACTCTACCCAAAGGTCTCTGGGCGGCTCACAATTGAAAAACGATAAAACAATTAAAACACAATTAAAAGCAAAAAGAAAAACAACAACACTTGTGACCTATTCTACCTTGCAACTCTCCTTGTGCTGTTGTGCACTGTTATGAACAGCTGTTGTGTTAAACTAATACTTAGAAGTATAACTGATACTGAAGAGGCCTGCAAAACAGTTGAGCTTCCTCACTGCTGTTCAATGGATACACACAAAAAGATGGGAAATCTTTGTACAAGAAATTTGCATTTATCACTAAGTGTGTAACACAGGCACAAGTGGCAGGGTTGAGGGATTCTCTTCTCTACCTGCACAGTGTTAACATGTGTTTGGTACAATGGGATTTTTATAAATATGTCTCTTTTCACATATACACTTTGAACTCAATTATGGCATTTCTCACATCTGTTACAGCAGTGTAATATCTGTTTTATGACAAAAGTCCTTTTAACTTTAAAATTACTTTTCCCACTTTCTGTCCAGTATTAAAATGGTTTACATAAGCACACGAGAGAGAGAACCTCAAACGTATCTTTAATGCTCTGCATGAAATACTTCAGACTTTTGATTCTAAGTGAAATACTGGGCTATATAACCAGTTTAAGGTATTCTGCACACTATGTCTGCACCTATTTATTTGGAAATAAATACTACCACAACTAGAAATGTGAAAACCCCACCCCAATAAACTCTTATTTCAGTTAATCTTACTTATGTCCTTTCCAGTTCCCTAAGATTACAGTCCTATAGACTTCCTTTGGAGAAAATTTCATTGAAGTCAGTGGGGTGTACTGTTACTCAGCTGACACTTACAGGATTGCACTGTAAATGTTCTGTGAGCTGTTCCAAACTTTCTTTAGATGTGACAGAAACTGAACTTTCAATAAGACCTATATTACTGAAAGGTTAAAAACTATATTTTTTTAAATGGGGTTTTTGATGCAGTGTATTTTATTTTGCAAGATTGTAAATGCTAGCTAAATTTAGACTAAATAATCTGAATATAAGAAAATCACCTGTGCAATTAACAAATGACTTTCACAAATACATTGAGCTAAATGAAGATTTTCTAGAAAAATCAATCTGGTCATTTTGCAAATACTGTATTGGAAGTGTACATTCTGTCACCCACACACCCACATATGATTTTCACTTCATGAAAGGTTCCTGAGAAGGTTCCTGTCTTCTCAGTCCTGTAGTTTAATTCCTAAAAGAGCATCGCAGACCATAGGATGTAGAGTGTTCCCTTTGTGCATGAAAAGTGAAAGGTCATCCAATACCAGAGATCTCCTATAAAGCAGCAAGAAGGGTTGAAGATGAAGAGGATGAAAAGGAAGTACCCAATGGGGGGGGGAGATAGATTGGGGAAAGATTTGGATCCATCACAGTCAAAAGTCAAATCCTTCTGCACAGTGTTAACAAATATGCCTCTACCAACATCTGCCCTACCAGCAGGGCCTCAACAGGGCTTTACATTTTGTAATTCATCCTCCACAGCTTCTCGTGTTCTGAAAGAATTAAATGAGTAGATGGTCAGGGTTGCTAGCTATAAGGAAATCCCATGCTAGAATACTGTAAAGACATCCTCTTATTTGGCTTGGGGGGGGGAGGCAACCTAAATCATGTTGGAATTAACATGTTTAAATTACTTTCAACATGTCACTTTTAGGGTAAGGTTAGTTTGAGAACTAACAAATATATGAAGTTCCTGATAGGACGTTTACTGAAGGGTAACCAGTAACCTTTTAAATATTTTAAGTGTATTTTTGAAATTAACATGTTAATAATGCATTAATTTCTAAATAAATAGCAATCTTAGCATGATCCTTCTTAAAACCAAGGTGCAACCAATAAGGAATTGCTTTTCAAAGTAGTATTTCAAGCTCTGAGGGGAAAATAAAAGTGCGAAAATTTACACAGTGTGACAAATATGCATGAATCCTGGCTGCAAGAGCAAAACTACAGTGCATAATACTCTCTTTAGTTGTACTGTACTCTTTTGGTCAGACTTACATTGTTGTTGAGAAAATACATGAACATTATATTAATGGAATTTAAATCAACTATTTGATCAGGCTTTTTTCTCACTGCAATTATTATTTATAAATCAATTAAATTATCATTTAAATTATGAATTTTAACCTATCCATCTTGATCTGAAACAAATCTACTCCAAATTTTGTTCTGCTAAATTCACTTTGGCTTCCACTCTTAAGGCCACAATCCTTTATATCTGCCTAGGAGTAAATTCTACTGAACACTTGCCTCCAAGCAAACAAGTGTTTTTCTGTATTTAAAGTGATTATCTTCCTAATAAATCAGAACTACTGGATAGCTCAGTGGTTTAGGCAAATGTGAATTCAATTCCCCAACTGTGCCTTCTTGGGGGCGGGGGGGGGCTCAACTTGATGATCCATAGAGTCTCTTCTAACTCCACAGTTCTTCTTCTCTATTGTTGTTGTTGCTGTTGTTACTAATTTCAATGCCTTGATCATAATCCAAGTCCATTTAGAGAACACAGAATATTTTTAAAATATTACTTTTTATTTATTTTAAAGATTTGTCACTTTTTTCTACTAAAGGCAGTTTACTCCAATGTTTTTTTCTTTTGAAGACAAAGATATATACTGTACAATGAAAGGCAAAACAGAGTGCAGAGGCCTATTTAATTTCTGTACAAACCACAGTGGGATGTGAAATTCCCACAAGGAAAATTTATTAAGGAAGATGTTAAATCTAAATTTCACCCCCCACGCCGCCCACACACACTGCCCACCCACTCAAATAAACTATGTAATGCACATATTCAGTGTCCTCTTGCAATGCAACTTGCCCTACGGCACATTCCCATACCAGTACTTAACACCACATCACAGTCTCTGAGCTGGGCTGCTGCTTGAGACCATTGTCCCCAAGATCCCTTGCGATTACTCTTTTTAGAAGATAAGCCAAACTGCTTCCCCAAAACTAAATCTGGCCCAATGCAGCCAATAGTTCTCATGACAAATTTGAGACAGGAAATAGACTGCATTCTACTTTATGTAATATGCCATAGCAGAGGTGAAAACCTGATAAGCAAAAACCCACTTATGCTCCTGGGTAAAGTTCTTCAGTCCCATCAATTATAGGCTAGTAGATGCTCATGGTAATGTAAGGAGATAAAACCCATGAGAAGAGTGGATCGGAAAGCCTAAAGGTAGACTTTGGCACATGGCAACCCCTTAAATCCCCTGGTAAAGAATGAGATGAAGATATGTTCTTCCTGGTCCAGGACAAGAAATCCCATCGCCAAGGACTAGTTCCATCCAGTGACTAATCATGTGGTTTCCCATCAAATGTTCCCTAAGTTTTCTTCCTCTCTCCCACTCAGCACTGAGAAAAGTGCAAACTATATTCCTCCAGTAAGCAGTGACCTGGTTTCACTATTACATTCTGTTCGCTCTTATATTTTAATTTGAAAACATATCCAACAGAAATTAGCAAAACTGTCCATAGTTAAACACAGATAGCTCAAATTAGAACATAGCTTTTCTGGACTCATAAAATTCCCTCTTCCACATAACTGTTAAAATTATAGAAGCCTTGTTCTCCTTTGTCTCTTGCCACTTTAGGATAGTGTGGCATTTGGGAAGGCCATGTTGTGTTAGCCTCCTAACTGACATCCACAAGATGAATAGATAAAAAAGACTAATGTTTTAAAATAACTGTGTTTTAAACTTTTTTAGGTTGGACTAATGGGTTTATAGCCTACATGGACAACTGATACATTTTCAGGCTCTTCTCTGGTCCAGTGGTGCCCTGCTTGACGATTACCTCGTTATACAATGAAATTGCTTGATGACGATGTTTTTGTGATTGCTATTGCGATCGCAAAACGATGATTCTATAGCCGATTTTCATTTGACGACGAAATTGCTTGATGACGATGTTTTTGTGATTGCTATTGCGATCGCAAAACAATGATTCTATAGCTGATTTTCGTTTGACGACAATCGGTTCCCTGTTTCGGGAACCGGTTTTTCGCCATATGACAATCAAAAACAGCTTATCGTCAGGTTTTCAGAATGGCCACCCACTGTGCAAAATGGCTCCCCACTGTTTTCAGGACTGATTGCTCGCTATACAGGCATTGAAAAATGGCCACCCTATGGAGGATCTTCACAAAACAAGCAGGTATTTCCCCCATTGAACGCATTGAACCGGTTTTCAATGCATTTTGATGGAGTTTTTATTTTGCTTGACGACTATTTTGCTCTACAGCGATTTTGCTAGAACGGATTATTGTCGTCAAGCGGGGCACCACTGTACTTATGAAGGCCTGAAACAGGTTTTTCTAAATTACATATAAGAAAAGCATAGAACTTACTTGATTGATTATGGCTACAATCTTGAGTCTAAACCCAATGACTTCAATTGGCCTTAATTAAAACAAGTGAAGACATTGGCCACGCAACCCTCCATTGCAGGACCATTTGGGCTTTTTCTGAGCTTGAGCAAGGATTTATTTTTATTTGCTTTTGCAGAATGGTGGGGTCAAAATTTGTCTCAAATAACTACCTTGCTCAGCTATAAGCACTGTTAGCTGCAATGGGACAATCTACAGCTTGCATAATATAATGCACAGTACTACACCAGTAAGATTTTATGTCCTGCAACTGTACAACATTTTCACAGGTGCAAATTTGCTACAGTTTGAGTTCTGGGAAAATGTAATACATCTGAAAAAGAAATGGAACATTGAAGAAAGATAATCAAGCTATGGGCAACAAACA